GAGCGGGCAGGAAAACTGCCACGAGTGAGCAGGAAAACCATCGTGGCAACGCGACCGCCTCGCCCAACACGGAAGGGTCCCCCGTCTTGATTCCCAGGTACCAGACTCCGAGGATTCGAAGCAAAATTCACGCAGCGTTCGTTCTACGGCGCACGACGGGTTTCCAGAAAGCCAGGTGGAGAAGGCAAATGACTGCGGCAACGCCAATGTCGCGCTCAACACGACAGGAGCTCCATTGTATATTATCGCAATCTCGCAACAAGCAATCAGTGCCACAAGAGACAAAAGACAGTCACCCGGGCACTATGTTCTGCTGGCGCAACTCGCACTAAACTCTGTGCAAGTCGAAACGAAGGTGGGGGTCGTGGCGAAAAAGACCAAGGTGTTCGACACGACTGTGATGGCGTTCGACACGACCAAGATCGCGTTCGACCGTGGCGGACACGACGACCACCGTGCTCGTCACGACGGCCACCGTGTCCGACCCGACGACCATCCCGACTGACCCGACAACCATCGTCGACGATCGTGTCGGACACGAAGACGGTCGTGCTCGATACGATGGCGGTCGTGTTCGACACAGCGACGACCGTGTTCGAGACGACGACGATCGTGTTCGACACGACGTCGGTTACGATGACGGCCGTGCACGACACGACGACGATCGTGTTCAACGAGTCGGACACGACGACGAGCGTACACTATGACGGCCGTGTTCGACACGATGGCGATCGTGTTCGACCCAACGACGATAGTGTTCGACACGGCGACGATCGTGTTTGACACAACAAGGATCGTGTTCGACACGACGACGACGGTGTCAGACTCGACGACGATCTTGTTTGACACGACGACCAGCGTGTCGGACACGACGACCAGCGTGTCGGACACGACGACGATCGTGTTCAACACGACGACCATCGTGTTCGACACAACGACGACCGTGTCGACCATCGTGTTCGACACGACAACCACTGCGGTGGAAGTGTTCAAGAAAACTTGTTGACGTCACCGAAAACCAGCACTGAACACAACCGTCCACGGAGGCTTTACTCTTTGTCTTGCGGGGGGGGGGGGGGGGGGGGGGGGGGCGTGTTGGCCGAAGCGGCACTAACCTGGAGAGAGGGGCAGTTGTCGTGTCGACGTTGGCGGACCGCTGCGCTGATTCTCCCAGAACGTGAACAATGAGACAATGTCGCGGGTACTCATGTGCGCGAATCGCATTTCTGCCCAGCAGCTGAACGTCATCCCCGCGCCTCCGCTCTGGCCGAGCGGGGAAAACGATCGCGGCTGACTGCAGTCATTGGATCATCCCGACCGTCTGTATTCCCGGATCGGACGGCCAGCAGGCGCGCGCGGAGGGCCCACCAGAAAAACTACATATATGAGGCAGGCCCACCACTCCCCATTGGATCATTTTACCGTCAGTATCCCCGGATCGGACGGCCAGCAGGTGCCCTCGAAGGGCCCTCCCGAAAAACTATATATATGAGGGAGGGTCACCAGTTCCCACTTTCGTTTTAGTTCGGCAACGCAGCAGTAGCGCAGTGCAGCGGAGGCTCGTGCCACAGCGCAGCGCAGTGGAGGCGCGTGTTCAGCGCAACAACGGAGCGCAGAGATTCGGTCCATGCATAGCAGACCACCTGCTCGACGCGACGGCGGACCGCAGCGCTGTCGAGAGGCGTGTTCAGCGCGACGACGGAGCTAGCATACGGCCCAAGATCGAGACGCACAACCACAGCGGAGCACCCCGAGTTTGAAGGATCGGACGGTGAGGACACAACCACGCAGCCCAGGTGCAACCACGTAACGCCACGTGGCACTTCCGGTCGTCGAGTCGAACACGATCGTGCCCGATCGTCGAGTCGAACACGATCGCGCCCGATCGTCGAGTCCAACACGATCGCGCCCGATCGTCGAGTCCAACACGATCGTGTCCGATCGTCGAGTCGAACACGATCGCGCCCGATGGTCGAGTCCAACACGATCGCGCTCGATCGTCGAGTCCAACACGATCGTGTCCGATCGTCGTGTCGAACACGATCGTGCCCGATCGTCGAGTCGAACACGACAGTGCCTGATAATCGAGTCGAACACGATCGCGCCCGATGTCTGATTGTTGAGTCGAACACGACAGTTGAGTTGAACACGCTCGTCAAGTCCAACACGGTCGTCAAGTCGAACACCATCGTGCCCAATCGTCGAGTCGAGCACGATCGTCGAGTCGAACATGATCGTCGAGTCGAACACGATACTGCCCGATCGTCAAGTCGAACACGATAGTCGAGTCGAACACGTCACTGCCCGATCATCGAGTCGAACACGACAGTGCCCGATAGTCGAGTCGAACACGATAGTCGAGTCGAACACGATCGTCGAGTCGAACACGATCGTCGAGTCAAACATGATCGTCGAGTCGAACGTGATCGTCGAGGCGAACACGATACTGCCCAGTCGTCGAGTCGAACACGATAGTTGAGTCGAACACGACACTGCTCGATCGTCGAGTCGAACACTACAGTGCCCGATCGTCGAGTCGAACACGATAGTCGAGTCGAACACGATCGTCGAGTCAGACACGATCGTCCAGTCGAACACGATCGTCAAGTCGAACACGATAGTCGAGTCGAACACGACAGTCGAGTCGAACACGATTGTGTTCGTCGAGTCGAACACGATAGGCGAGTCGAACACGATCGTCGAGTTGAACACGATCGTCACGATCGTCTAGATGGTGCCCTGTCGTCGAGTCGAACACGATCCTTCCCTGTCGTCGAGTCGAACAAGATTGTGCGCGGTGCAATGTCATYGAATCATTCATCGAATCGTGCATGGGTTGCGTGCGTGGAATTATGGGCGTGGATTGCGCACATAAATTTTGTGCAGTGTGTTGTCGTGGGGCCTGGTTTGTTTCCATTGTTAGGTGGAGGGGGGTGAATAGTTCTATGTTGTTGTTGGTTGTTCTATGCTGCTGTTGACCGTTGCACTTGTGCCGTGCAGGGCGTCTTCTCTCCACTGTTGCTATGGAGATCTCTCATATGACCCCAGCACTTTGGCGTGCACGCAAGGCCCACCCTTTCCCACCTTGCGCGCTGTACGTCCTGCAATGTCAGGGCAGCGTGACCTATGAAGGCGCTTGTCCAGAAGACTTCGAATGCGACCCTTGGATGAGAATCCTCCCGTTTGGCGACAAACATTTGGACTCGTGGGAGGAGTACGAGCGGGTGAACATGACGGAGAGATGCCCGTGGGCGTGCAATTATGAGTTCGCGAATATGTCCGAATTCGGCAAACGCATTCTTGTGTCGTTCGACGTGATGCGTCCCGTGCGCTTGCCTCTACTGTGTAAAAAACTAAAAATAAGTCGTGTTATGGGGGGTTTGGACTGCGAATATGTGACAACCTCGCCTCACACCTGGTGCCGTGTTATGAAACAGGAGTTACTCGATTGTGCGCGACATTCTCAGTTCCTCGATCATTATCCGTTGCGATCTCCCGGTCTATCGCCAAGAGCAGTTTCGTATTATTGTGTGAGATTGCGTCTTGCATACTTTATCTTCTGTAGGGTCCTCTGTATTGGCGATTCGAGCACGGCAAGGAACTTGACCGATGTTGTCGTGTATGTGTCCAGGAACGAGCTGTCTATGTCCGGGAGGGATATGTGTTTAGTTCAAAGAAGGGTAGATGGGAGACTGGATATCGTGTTGGGTGGCCAGGTGGAGGACGTAGGCGCGTGGCGCGAGGTCAAGACTAAAGTCGTTTCAATTCGGGATGCTATAGGCGCTTCTCTCGTCGGGAACTCCGGGTTCGTGCGAATGACATACATTTCGGTGTTTGCTGAGACGGCGCAGCAGCTGACCTTTGGATCGCCACTTAGTGTGTTGAATGGCCGCAACGGCGAGATTGTTCCCCGTAGTCGATAGATAGCCTCGTGGAATTCGCATTGCGATTGCTGTTCTCAATGTGTTATTTCGATAACAATACGCGGTATCTGCTAGTTGTTCTCATCATGTGTTCAGTGGCCAAAAGTACACACGTGTGACGTTGCTGTCCTCATATTGTTTTTCGATTCATGGAAACCCGGGAATGATGACACGTGTTTTCGGTTTGGCTTTGGACACCGACACATCGCTGCCAGCCCGAGTGTTTGATTGTTCTTCTCATGTTATGTTTCCTTTCGAAAAAAAAAACTCGTTGTTCTGATGTTTTGCGTGCACAAGCATTCAACAGTCAATGTTTCTCCGTATTAACCAGTGTCTGCGATCTGTTGTCTTATGTTCTCGTGATCAAGTGCCCCTTTAGGCACCGTCCACCGACCATTGTGTCGAACACGACAAATGTCGCACAGCACACCACAGTGTCGCTGTCGTGTTCGACATGATGGTCGCCAGACGGTGCCCGAAGGGGCACTTGGTCGACTATCGAATGGCAGACGACAATGTCGCTGTCGTGTCGAACACGGCGGTCAGCTCCCCTTCAGGCACCGTTTGACGACCATCGTGTCGAACACGACATGGACACTGTGGTCTGGCGCCCAGACGGTGCATGAAGGGGCGCTTGGTCGACTGTCGCACGACAGACAACAGTGTAGCTGTCGTGTCCAACATGACGGTTGGACAGCCCGCGCAGTACCGAGCTCGACGTCGAGCACGACGACGAGTTGGTCGGCCGTCGGGTTCGACACAACAGTGACACGACGACCCCGCAATGTCGTTATGGTGTCGAATTCGACGGTACTAGAGGACGTCGTCGCACGGCCGTCGAGTTCGACACGACAATGAAACGACGACGAGCTGGCGGGCACGACGGACCACAGTGTCGCTGTCGTGTTCGATACGATGGTCGCCAGACGGTGCCTGAAGGGGCACTTGGTCGACTGTCGAACAGCGGACGACAGTGTCGGTGTCGTGTCGAACACGACAGTCAGCTTCCCTTCAGGCACCGTTTGGCGACCATCGTGTCGAACACGACATGGACACTGTGGTCCGGCGACCAGACGGTGCATGAAGGGGCGCTTGGTCGACTGTCGCACGGCAGACAACAGTGTAGCTGTCGTGTCCAACACGACAGTTGGACAGCCCGCGCAGTACCGAGCTCGACGTCGAGCACGACGACTGCCGTCGAGTTCGACACGACAGTGAAACGACGACACCGCAATGTCGCTATCGTGTCGAATTCGACGGCACTGGAGGACGTCGTGGCACGGCCGTCGAGTTCGACACGACAGTGATACGACGACGAGCTGGCGTGCTGCGGCCCGCTTCCGTTGCTTTGTGTTCCTGTCTATTCTTGTTCTCGAGTGCTGTGGTGTTTGTACGTCGGCAAAGCAATGACTACTTTCTGGCTTGTGCGTTTTCTTTAGTTGCGACTAGCTGCTCGACATGGATCGTGAGGGGAGGCCAAGCAAACGACGTACTAGTACTGGTTCCGGGAGCATGGAGCAGTCTCCGAAAAAAACGAAGGGGACACCAACGGTTGGCGTGGGGGCTGGCGACACACCGGGGTCTAAGGGCCACCGAACCCCGGTGGTGCGGGGTGCACCTTCTACGGGCACTCCTTCCGCCCATGTTTGAGGTTCGGGACCGGATTCGGCTGTGGTGATGACTGGTGGGGTTGCGGGTCGAGAAGAGGAGGCTACTGGTCGGCAGGGGAAATCTACGATGGACGTTGTGCCCAGGCGTAGAAGGTCTGGTGACACGTCCGTTGCAGGTGTGGGAGACGAGGTTCCTGTCGTCGACCACAAAGAAAGGTGTTGGATGTTGGACTGGGTGCGTGGAATCAGGGAACCCTCGGGTGGGCTGGTTTTGTACGTGGTGATCAAAGATAACATTGTTCCGATTGGCGGTGTGGTTAAGTGGAGTGGAGGAAATTCATTGTTGGCCATGTTGGAGTTGACGATGGTCCTTAACGCTAAAGATGAGTGGATGGCGAATGTTAAACACGTTGCTCTTTGTTGGGCCAAACACGATGGGTACGGTAAGAAGCTTTATGACATTTTCAATCCGTCCGGGACGGAGACATTGACGTTGCCGGACCTTCGAGCGGTTTTCACATTCTTCGACA